TAAGAAGATATATAAATAGAAGTTTTATAATTATATTTAACTATCTAAAATAAAGATATAATAAATTTTACTTTAGAGAATACTTTTATTTTTATCCTCTTTTTTAGTAATAAGGTTTTTATATATTTTACTATCCTTTTAGTAAATACTTATAGTTTTAATTTTCTATTTCTAAAAAACTTAGAAGAGATATATAGAAGTAAAGAGATTATTTAGAAATATATAGTAAATAGTAGCTAGAAGTAAGCTAAAGAGAGTTATTATAACTTATTATATTAATATTAATACTACTAATTTTATAGCTATATTATTCTAAACTAGCTAAATTTATAGAATAAGTCTATATAGCTTCTTACTATATATATATTATAGCTACTAGAGGTAATATCCTTTTTAAGCTAAAATTTATATTTTAAACCTAATTAAAGTTAGCTTATTTAGGACTATTATTATCTTTATTAACTAGCTTATAAATTAAACTATAGCTTTATTAACTATAAAATTAAAGCTAGTAGTATAGAAGGAGTTTCTAGTTTCTTAAATATAAGTAAACTACTTATTAACTTTTTAGTAAATAGCTAATATTAAATTTAGAACTTTATACTAACTCTAAGATATTAATACTATTTTTAGTATTTTAAACTTTAATATATTAAAGATCTAAAGTTATTAGATTAATAGTTAGAACTAATCTTAAGTTATATATTAAGTAAATAAGTATATAAAGTCCTCTTTTACTTATTTAGTTAACTAATAATTTAATATTTAAGCTTTACTATAGATTTTTATATAAAGTAATATACTAATTAAAAAATAAATCTTAGTTAATAAAATATCTCTCTAAATATATACTTTTAATTACTTTTAGTATAAACTAGTTAGTAATATTAGTATTATATTTATCTACTTAGCTTAATAGCTTATAATTTTATTAAGTAGGTATTAGAAGAAGAGATTAATTAGCTTTATTAGAAAGTTTTAGACTTTAGAAAGCTAAAATAGCACTTTAAATAGCTAAAAAGAGCTAAGCTTACCCTCTTTAATTACTAAAAGCTTATAAGGTTAGATTATAGTATTATTATACTACTCTAATATATAATTAATAATATAAGTAATAGTAAGGTCCTCTAGAAATATAGTAATAATAATATAACTCTATATAGAAGTTATTAAAACTATAGAAGTATTAAAATTATAAGAAGATATTAAAATATTACTTAAAATAATAGTTATAGTAATAAAAAGGGAGGGATAATTATAGGGGTAAGTAATATAGAGTTAAGTATTATAGTAGTGAGGGGTAGTTATAGGTTAAAAAGTAGGCATACTCTTTTTAGCGTTAACTTGCACTTAATAGGATAGATAGACCTCTATATTGCTTATGTTAACAAGTAAGGAATATCTGTCCGTAGCTGTGCAGTTGTCTGCGCCTGTCTGTCATTTGACTTGAGATTTCTTTTATGATGTCACGAACCATGTGGCCTATATAGCCCTAGAACAATTTTGATGTCGATTCGTTGGTGTGCCTTACGTCGAAAGGTGATCTGGGTGGCATACCAGGTGCAAAATCCCTGGACACAAGAGAAAGAGACCCAAAAGTATTGGATGAGAGAGGCAGAGGGCAAAGAAAGTAGAGTAATAGCAATCGCTCGGTTTTTGACTCTGGAGGATCACTGGTGCTTCGAAGTAGGCTCCCACAGTAAGACGCACCAACTCACAATGATCAAACTCATTGAGTGGTCTGGCCCTAGCATCTCGGAACGCAATGGTGGCTGCGAACAGACTGGTGCAACTTACAGAAGGCAGCAGGAAAAGAAGACATTCTCGGCGTCACGCTGCGTTTTGGCGTTATAACCACCATCCGGATGTTCGTGTGCGGTGTCTATGATCACACAGCCAATTCAGGCTGTTCCCACATATCCAAAGAATGGGCGTCACTGACAAGCCAGCTTGATGATTCTCATTGTTATCCATACCAGGAGACAGCTACGTTTCAGCAAATCGTCAAATGACAACTTCTAAAGAAAACAGTGAGATTTTCCATGTTGCGAGAGCCTCCAAGTACTTCGCCTTAAGGGAGAAGAGAGGGAAGGTGCCGATCTGGCCGCCCGTTGAGTTTAACATAGATGGACCGTTCTAAAGAGCACCACGTCACCGCCAAATCTGGGTCGTAATCTCAGCAGCCAATTTAGTTAGGAGACAGGCCCATGTACGAAACTGAATATTCTCACTGGAGGAGTCGCCGATAGTCTGACATTCATGAGATTCATATAAACGCTCAATGATCAATCATTCGTAACTCGGCCTTGCCTTTCGTCATCACTTAGGACATCGTTTCCAGGCTACCACACACTATACCTGACTACACTTTTCTCAGAGGATGGTGGTGATATTCTTTTAACCTCTTCCGAAAACTAGGAGTTGCATCCCAGATGACGGGAAGGAAGTTGACGGGTTCTGGGCCAACATGGCGTGGGATGAAGTCTTACGTTGCCCGCCGCCCGAACTACAAACAGGCCCGGAACCAACTCGCAGCTGAGTCCACGAAGGAGATGCTTCAAATGGCGAATCAAACAAGGCCAAATGAAGGGAATTCCTTCGATCGAAAGTCCCAATTCCATTCCCCGTCAAACGTGCCGAGGAGCCGAAAACTCCGAGAGAGCATACTCTCCGAACTCCCCGACCGTGCTTCACAAGTGACGTAATCCGGATCCGAGGTCAGCATAACGGGACTTTGGTTCTCCATGCTCTATCATAAATAATCCCGCCAAGAACAATTGAGCCACAGTGACCTTCAAACCGGCGGGCAAAGATCGTCTGTCACTTACACACAGAACCGCTAGACCCTCCAGAACCGCAAACACCGCAACAATGTACTACAACCCAGGCGTAAACGACCACGGTCTCCCCCACGACCCCTTCAAAGTAAAACCTCACACCCTCCCAATCTCCATCTCACTCACTAACCTCCCACTCCAGGCCTGCGTCGTCCCCCGCGCAATCGGCTGGATCTCAACCACCTCGCCCACCGGCCAGCACAACCTCGCGCCCTACTCCCAATTCACCAACGTCACCTTCGACCCGCCCATGGTGATGTTCTCCGCAAACCAGACCCTGCCCGACGACGCCACGCAGACCCGCAAGGACACCGTCAACAACATCGAGGCCACGGGCGTCTTCTGCTGGCAGCTGTGCACCTACGCGCTGCGCGAGGCCGTCAACGTCACGGCGGAGGCCGTGCCGCCCGACGAGGACGAGTTTGCGCGCGCCGGGCTCGCCAAGACCTTCTCGCGCGGGCTGCGGGTTCCCGTTCCGATGGTGAAGGAGTCGCCGGTGCGGTTCGAGTGCGAGTACGTGCAGACGGTGCGGCTGCCGGGCAAGGGCCCGATGGGGACTGTGGATGTGGTGTTTGGAAGGGTGGTGGGCGTGCATGTGGACGAGTGGGCGTTGACGGATGGCAAGATTGATGTGAGGAAGACGAATCCGATCGCAAGGCTGGGGTACTTTGAGTATGGGGTTATTAATGATGCTTTCGAGATGGTCGTCCCTGGGGATAAGAGGATGCTGATCGGGGTGAGTTTGGCGTCTTGTGTGATTGGGGGCATTGCTGACTATTGAGATATAGCTCTCGGGAAACGCGTCAAAGAACACGGATGAGGATTTAGATGAGGCCAAGAACTCATGATGGATATCAGGTTTCCATGGAGGGTTGAGGCTGGCTTATAAAAAGTCGACCGAGATTGAGCGCAAAAGATCTATAGAGATACTATTTCCCTTCAAATGCTAGACCTCAGGCATTCTCAATACCGGGGTTCTCTTCAATAAGATGAGCCAGCGGAATAAACAGCTTCATTGCACCCCCCTCCTTCGCCTTTGCGTTGATTTCCCTCACCTCATCCCACGACATCCAGTACCACCCAGAGCACTTTTCAGGTTCCAGGTTCTGCTCATCATCAGTAACGTTCATATGAAACTAACCGCAACTTCACTCAGGGAAATTGGGAAAAAAGAAAATGGCAAAAATCAGAACTCACCACCGGCTCAGCCGCCTCATCGTCCATCTCGCACCTCACGAACAGCGTCACATAATGCTTCCCCTGCTCCTGGAACACGTCGTTCGTCACGCCGGCGATCTTTCTCGCCTTGACTTTGAGCTGCGTCTCCTCCGCCGTCTCGCGCTCCGCGCAGCCGAAGATGGACTCTCCGAATTCGAGGTGCCCGCCGGGGAGCTGCCATGTACCTACGCAGGAACGTTAGCGCCCGACCATCGTAGGCCGAATGAGACTGCAAGTGTAGAGAACTCCGCAAGGAATTCCTCGTAGCCCATAGAAATGAGGAACCTTCAGGAGTCGGGATTTGAGAAGGGTTGACGTTACCTGCGCCGTGGCTGCTCTCCCGCTTCCCAACCACAATCTTGCCGTCCTTGCGCTGGACGATCGCCGCGACGCCAATGCGCGGGTTCGCGAAGGGGTTGATTGTAGTGACAGACATCTTTTCGTCAAAGAAACTCACTAGCTATGTATATCAGAAGAATGAAATGATGGCTCGTTGAGTGATCACTGCCAAGATACGCGGTGCTGAGTTGAGGTTTAAAAGAACTCACTGACTCACTTCGGTAGTACCTGGACAGTGAGATTGGGCCAGTGAGAGACCGAGTATGCCTCACCCGACTACAACCATCCCCTATGCACCGCTGCACCGCCACAGCAGGCTCACTGTGGCTGCCTGCCATTCCGCCTCACAGGCGGGAAACGCCTGCGAGCCTCGTTCAATCTCACTCAAGTTCCAAACCCTCACTCATCCTTATTCTACATTTGAAACTATATAAACTCGTCCACAATCACAATTGCCAAAGCCTCATTCATACACATCAAGACATCCACTTTCCATTTCTACTAACCCATCTTGCAGACCAGTCCCGCTCCCAAGTGGATTCCAGTAGCCCTCCCGTCGCCCACCCTCAAAGCCATCTCCCCCTCCCCTCCTCCACAACAAGAAATGGTTTCGTGGTGTAGTTGGTTATCACGTCAGTCTAACAGATCGTGCGCATTCTCCGAATGCCCTCGCCTGGCACACTGAAGGTCTCCGGTTCAAGTCCGGGCGAAATCATGAACATTGGGCGATTGGTTTAGTGGTATAATACTCGCTTAGCATGTGAGTGGTCCAGGGTTCGATTCCCTGATCGTCCAATTCTTTTTGCTTTTTGCATAGGGATCGTACTGTCTTTTTGTTTTTAGAGGGTATTAGAGGAGGGAGAGCCAGGAAGTGGATACGTAGTTTGCGTGGAGTAGCATCAGTTGAAGCTATAGTGACATACGATTAAGCGTTGTAGATGGCATCGACATGCTAAAAATACATCTCATCATTCATTCATTACCTCTGCTTGCAGTGGGTATCATTACATAGCCTTTCCAAGGGCCGTCGCGTGAGAGGAGACATGTCCAAAGTACTCACCCCCCTTCTACCAGGCCCCCTTGGCCGGCATATTCTCCGGGTCCATCTCGAACCCCTTGATACTCTCTTGCCAATTCTGCCAGTTGAAATCGTCCAGGTTATCCATGTTGACATCCATTGTGTCCATCGGCACGTCGTCGAAGCGGTTGTTGATGGACGTGAACGGGTCAGACCACAGCCACGGCGGCTGGTTATCGCTGAGAGACGACGCGATCTGCGGCTGGGACGTGGCGGCGATGGCCTGCTGCCTCTGCCTCCGCTCGGCGTCGGTCATTTGGGTGTTGTTGGAAATAGCCGGCGTGGGGACTGCCGTCGTGACCATGGGCGGCTGCGATGCCGGCGGCTGAATCGCGCTGGGCGGGAACAGTGTGTTGTTCGGGTCTGCGGCCATGGACTGCGCCGTGGGGTAGATGTACTCCCACATCTCGCTGGAAGTAAAGCCCGCTCGGGACATCATGACCGTATCAAGCTCCGAGTCTTCGTCGGGCATAACCACCTGGCCGGGGAACATGTTGACCGGCTCTCCGGCAGGTTTGGGTTGAGGGTATGGTTCCACTGTGGACCTCTCATTACTCGGATTCCTCCGTTCGGCGGGTGGCGGTTGTGTCATGGGCAGATCTGCCCGGACCCCGCAGAGCTTCCTCCATCGTGTGCGAATCGCCTGTTGTTGGCTCTCCATGCCGGGCACCGGGCCCAGTCTGGCCGGGATCGTGTCCATGCGGTCGTCGACGTCGAGCTGGCGGGCGGCCTCGGGGTTTGCTCGCAGACGCGCAATCTCTGCCTCGCGATGCTTCGTGGCCTTCGCGCTAAGTTTTCGCAGCGGCATCCACACAGCCATATGGTCTGCCATTTTGGCTATTTCGCCAGGGTCCTGGTCAAATCGAATGGTTTTGTTGACTGCCTCCCAGCCACGCTCAGAGGTGGCTGACCACGGGCGTCGACCGGCCTCCATGAGGATGTACGCAATGGCATGCCACTGCCTGTACGTCTGGAAAAGCCACCGCCATTGACGGCAGCGAGGGTCGGTGTTTAGGATATAATTATACTCGACAATTTCGATTGCTGACACGAAAAGTCGGTCGCGAATCTCTCCTGATAGCTCGGTTCCGTTGCCGGGGAATAGCATGGGTTGGTAGATGACCAGGCTCATCTTGGCCATGATCACGCGGGCGATCATGGCCGCCATCCAGAACAGCGGGTCGTCATCCGTGAAACAATGTTGCAGGAATTTCTCTTCGACCCGGTTGTAAACTTCGATCAGTTTGCTCTCACGCTGTTCGAGGGTGGAGGACGCATCGCGCGGGCAGACACCCGCCATTGCCGAGCCGACGGTGTGCAGCCTTCTCGACAAGGCGCAAATTTCGTAACGAACAAGTGAAACCGCACAATCCGTCCTGCCTTGGCGTGGGGTTGGCGGCTCAATCATTCCTGGGTCGATATCCGAATCATTAAGGTTGGACGGCAGCTCCGTATCGAAGGAGCGATCGATAATGGTAAGATCGCTACCCAGTTCCTCGGCAGAACGCAAGTCGAGGGTGCAGATGGCCCACCACAGGCGGCGCCTCATTTCTGTTTCAAAAGGCGGGAGGTTGAAGTTTGTTCCGTCGCGGTGGATGCCCATTCCTTGCGCCATGCGGATTGCAAGCCCGGTAAGCGTCCAGCAGAATCTCGTGTCGTCCTGGCGGCGTACAAGGGTAAGGAACAGGACGAAGGCTTGCAGCACTACGATATCCGAGGTATTGAGGAAATTGGCCTTTGCGAGGGCCTGTTCGAGCGCGAAACGGTACTGCGATAGCATCTCGTCCTTCTTGGAGCCGAAGTTCTTCTCGACCTAGCTTGGTGGTTAGCTGGAGCCAGTGTGCTAGATAGAGCGGCACAAACCTCCTCGTCTTCCATGGACGTAATGGCGGCATAGTAGATGGAAAACAACAAAGCCTCGTGACCGGCCGTAAGATCGTCCATGTTGCGTCGCATGTCGCGAATGAGCCTCTCCATTGTCGGAATATGCAGAATCTTGAGCAATGGCTCCACGTTCTCCTGGTACACCTGCCACATGAAGGGTATTTGCGACGGCAGTGGATGCAACTTGCGCAAGTCAACATCCGACGACCGGTATCCCAGTATAAATGCGTGATGATCGGTCGATGCGTCAACAGCGTGCAGGGGCGAGTGATCCGGTGTGTCTTCCTGGTCAGACTCGTCGCTGAACTCTTCATCGAGGATGCGCGCCCGTTCTCGAAGTTCGTCGAGCTGTGTTACCCCCGTCAGCTAACGAAACATGACGGCTCTCGACCGACTCACCTCATCATTCAGCTTGGACCAAAACGCGCTGCTCACGTATCGGCTCGTCTTTCCCTTGTCGTGCAACACCAAGCGGCCAAATGACTTGCTGACGCTCGCGGCCTTGGGCTCCATCCCCCTCGTCTTTTCTTCGATTGCGTCCAACTTCTTCTGCATGGCAGCCCCGTCCGCAATTCCTTCCTTTATCGCATTGAGTTGCGCAGCAGTAAATGTCCTGTTCCCGCGCTCTGAAGGCGCTTCGTGGCCTGTGGTTTCGGGAGAGTTGCCAGTGCTCGAGTTCTGGCGCCCGCCGCTGCTTCCGGGGCCGCTTTCCACCTCGATCTGGCCGCTCAGCTCCTCGACGATGCCCTCCAGCTTGCGCAACCGCTTCATCAGCTCCACCTCGCGCTCGGTCGAGTTCTTTGGCGGGGCGTTGGGGTCCTTTGGGCGTGGTCGGCGGGGGGCGCGGCCGGGGGCGGGGAAGATGCATTGGATGACGGCGCGGCGGCAGTTGCTACACGGCATCTGCTTGTCGCAGCGGACCTTTCGCCTTCGACAGGTGACGCAGCTGCGCGGATTGAGGGCAGGCTGGCCCGACGCCGTCATGGCGACAGGTTGATCGGGGGGTATAGACGTTGCGCCATGGCGGCTGAGGGCGGGGAAGTCTGGCGCTGTAGAGGTGGTCGGAGAGGCTGGCGAGTGCTGGGGGTTGTTGTTGACGGTGGTCGCGGGAGTCGTGGGATTCGACTGCTGGCTTGCTGGCGAGAAGTGCTCCATCTCCATGGCTGGCTTCGTGGGCCGATCTGTGCGGCGAGGGCTGTCGAGAGGCGGCGGCGAGGAGAGGGATCACGAAGGTTTGGATCTGAGGGAATCGACTCGAGTGTGACACAAGTTCGGGACGCTTTGGGGCTGACAAATGGTGGGATTCGATCCTGCGACGGCGGCTCTTTGCGCTCTTGGCTGCTGGCTTACCCACGGCGAGACATGAGGCGTCGTTGCGCGGCTAAATGGGGTCTGCTGGCATTATCCGGACCCGCGAGGACGTCAAGGAAAAACAAAACCCAAGGAAAAGAGTACGTTGGTGTTGAGTGAGGTGCAGTTTGTGGTGGTGACGAGTGTTGGGGCTGCTGCATTGGCAGAAAGAAAGCACGCCGACACTCGCTGTTGATTGGGAAAAAAAGGTCCCAGTGTGAGTCGAAAGTGGGGGAGGCGGGAGCGCTGCGGGACACTCTGAGCCCAGCGTCACATCAGTGCAAACAGCGCAGTGGGCCCCGAGAGGTCGGAGCTTCATGCCGGCGCGCCTATGATCGGCCGGCTTTAAATGTGAGCCTTCCCATTGGCCTGCTCACCTGTGCCCCGATGCCGCTTTCGGTAACCCGGCCTTCACCGGGGAACACCGAGAAGACCCTGACTCACATGGCAGACCGACGATCGGTGACGGCTCGGTGAGGTGAGAGGAGCCTCCGATATCCTCGGATGCTCCGTGGCTGGCCTCGGCCAACGTTGAGAGACTCGGATCAGCCTCTCACCTACAAACTTCAATATCCGCCGAAATTTTCAACTTTTTCATGTCAGACCAGAAAACAAGAACACACAGGCCATTGTCCGGTTCAAGCTCGAAACTTGAGACGATTCTCGTCATTGACGCGACCGCGGCCTGCAACCCCCGATAACTCCGAGAACGGCGCCTTCTGAGACTTGCCCAGCCCAGTCTAAGCTTACCAAGCTTGCACAAACTTCGCAACGGTTAGCGTAAATGAGCGTATGACGCATAGCTAACCTTGTTGACCAGTTTGCTGCTGATGTCGTTCTCGTGTCGCCCGAACTCCATGCCCATCGTGGTCCAGCCGTTGTTCTCGAATTTCCCTATCTGTCTTTCATTGTTGCATGGAATCATGGATGCAGCTCGAAATTCGCATCTGCTTGTCCAAGCTTTATCAGCAGAGAATGATGCCATCGATATTGAATCGGTCTCAGAATCCGACCAATCCACTCTCGTTGCCCGGTGTGTCCTTTGAAAGTGATCAGGGAACTCCCAGCTTCAAACAAATGATACCCCGCATATGCAGTAGGCGGAGGCGAAACACATGCTGAGCAGGGTCACATTGGCAAGCTGTGCCGAGTAACAACATTGACAGAGAACGTTTCTGGAAAGGGGAGCTTCAGCAACGTGCAACTCAACCCATGTCCCCTGCCATGATGCATTCAGTGAGGTCTTAAATTTGATGACAGAATTGAATATGGACAGTGGAAAATTGATGCACGAGCAAATCTCACATAGAAAGTTTGGTTTGAACTCGCCCTGATGAGTGTTCCTCACGTGAAGGGTGCCCAGGACTCTCCATAAATCTAACCCGCTACATGCGCCGCAAAGC